GTTAATCTAATTGTGATCAATTGTAGGGGTGATACAGTAATATGATTTACATTTTTATTGTTTTTTAATTTGCCTATTAATTTCCATTATTATGATACAATCTTGTTAATATTCTGTCTTTAATATTTTAAACCACGTCTGATTAACAAACTATTCTAATACATTCAGGAGAACCAGGTTGGATTTATTAAAATCTAATATTTTGGACTTGATCTGATCCCAAATATAACACAGCATTCTTCATTGCTTTTTCAGATCAATCTTGAAACTGCTTCAGAGGCTCTGAGTGATAAAAGTCATTTCCCCTTTTTCCACTGGATGAATCCCAAAGAAGGGATCCAGTACCCAGGAATTGTCCACCTGCTCCTCCATTTCAGATGGACCCTGATTGGCCTCTTTGCTTCAGACACAGAGAAGGGAGACAATTTCATGAGGACTTTTACTCCTGTGCTTGTCAGGAGTGGAATTTGTGTGGTTATATCACAACAGTTCTCAAGAATTGGATACACAGCATCCCTCAGGGATTCCCTCTCTAAGTGGAGACAAATCAACGTCTTTGTTCACTTCATGGAACTTGATTCCATTTGGGAGAGAATTCTTCCTTTCCATTTAACATTTATGCGTCTGCCAGGACCCATTGAAGGAAAAGTCTGGATCCTCACAAATTTTTTAATGTATCCAATGGACAAGCGTAGACTTCTCAAATACATCCATTGTATTTTGAACTTTGGTTATCTGGGGAAAAAAAGGCCAAAGAATTCTGCCTTTGAACCCCATTTCTTTGTGAAAGAAAAGTTTCAAGATCATTATTTTTTCTGTTCTCTTTCAAAGAACGTCTTTTCTGTCAAAGGCCGCAGAAGATGCACCCAGAAAGCCCCACTGGAGATCCAGGAGAAAAGGAACAGAAGACGGATACTAAATTACTATAAATATTACAGTATCATGAAGACTCTGGCCCAGGCCTTGAATGCCGCTTATTCCTCCAGATCTAATAGGAGGAGAAGGAAGGAGGGAGAAAAGAACTTGGGGTCTCCAAGGCTGCAGCCATGGCAGGTATGGGATCCCGATATGGATCCATTAGTCTTAGATCCTTTGGAGGAGGAATCCAGAGGAGAAGGAGGGGAACCAACTCAGCAGATCTGTCCAATTCCATTACTCAGGGAATAATAGTTCCAAAGAGTAGATACCATGGCATTTTTATATTAAACTCTGCTCATTTGAAAATGCTGTATTGTTTCTTAAATGAATTCCTGTATTTGTGGGTTTGTGATGAGCATGGTGGAATTTCCCCCTTTGTTCCGTCCCCACTGCAGGAGGGTCTGTGTGCAGCTCAACAGGCAGCTAAACCCCCCTCTTCTCCTCCAGTGAAAGGGAGTCTGGGGTGGATCTGGGTGTTTCATTGGGAGAAAAGGGCACGGAGAAACTGAGGAAGTGCAAAGAGTGAAAATCAAATATAAATAGGAGATAGGCAGCATTAACTAAGAGCCAACAAAGAAGCAGCTGGAACCTCTCCAAGGATGCTCCGTGTGAGGGACGGAGGCTGTCTCCGGATGACCAGGTGTCTCAGTCAACCGGCTGCTTCCGTCTCCTCCAAAGGCTGAGAGAAAAGGGAGTCTGGCTTCAGACCATACAGTTAGGCTTATCTGCCCCCGGCGACTAGGTGGGGCTAGAGCAACAACAGCACAATAGATACATGTTGTGGCATGACAACCTTTATAAATTTGGAGGAGACCCTGAGACCATCTAGCCCAACCCCTCATCTCTGCAGGAATCCCACTTAAAGCTTCTCTGACTGATGGCTGCTCAGTCTTTGCATTCAGACAATCCATGAAGAGGAGACTGAACTTCTCTGCTTCACTGGCTCAGCTCTAAAATAGCTCAAACTTTTATCATATTTTTTTCCTTTCATTCAGCTAAATTCTCCTCTCTTGCAACTGAATTCATTTTTCCATGTTTCACACTCTGGAATAATAGTGAGCAGATCTTACGCTTGTGTGTAACCTGTGTCAGTGATTGGAAGAGGGCTACATCCTCCCTTCTCCAACGGAGAGATTGTGTCAGTTGGAAAAGGGGCTCCCAGATTCCTCCTGATCTTCAGCTCTTCTCCTTGTTCTCTTTCCTCAAGGCTAAGAGCAGCTCCTTTGATCTCTTCCTTGGCTTATTTCTCCTTCCCTGAAGTTCACACGTAGATTTTGTGCAAATTCTCCTCCAAGTGTGGTGCCTGCAAGGGGACCTGGTCCTTGAGTTGGGGTCTCCCCAAACCACAACATTCACTTCCTGAGATTCTTATGGCTGCATTTGCCTTCTTTCCATGAACATCTCCCTGCTGACTCAGATTCTGTTTCCAGTTAACTATGATTTTGAGATCATTTTCACAAACATGCCTATCAAGTTTGGTATCCCTCATCTTTCTTCCAGTCCATCATTCATGTTCTTATATGAGACTCTATTGTTAGTCAAGTCCTAGTTGCTAAAAATCAGATATTTTTCTACTGCTTTTTACTTATGCACCCTTCTCTGTGTGCTAATCATAAATATTGTTTCTGGAAACTTGATATTCCTCTTATTAAATTTTATTTTATTCAAAAAGGTAAAATATAAGCTTCAAAAAATAAAACTATTACAAAGACAAAACAAAACTAGACAAAACATTTTTCAAAAATTGTGCATTAAAAATAGACAAAAACATGCATATTGTCCCCCAGTTGAATACAATACAGCAATAATAGTTTCTCCCCCTTGCAAAATAGTCTCACAATTATAAACTACACATCTATTTGCAATTACTTGACCTGTCATCTGTCTGCTGTATATAAAAAACGTGGTTAACAGGCAATCCAACAATAAAGTTAAATTTTAAAACTTCAAAATGGTCTGTAATCTGCTATTGTATTTAACTCACAGAAAATTTGCAGGGGCTTCTTATCTACCACAGACCACCACAATCATTACCTCTGATCCATCCAAAATCAGGGTTAAACACCTTTGTTTGATTCTAAATAATAATACATTTCCTTAAAAATTTTAATTAGGATCTTTCCCAGCAGCTGCTTTCCATTCCCCAAAGTCAGAGGACCTCCTATAAATTGAAACACGAGAACTCTTAAGATTTGTTTTCCAGTTAAGTATGACAAGTCCATTCCCTCAATCTTCCTGAAAGAATCCATTTCTTCAGTCATCCGTTCTGTCCACTTTGAGTCTTCAGGGTCCATGGCCTCTCCAGCCATCTCCAAGCAGCCTGCCTTCAAACCAGACTCCTCCTTCAGGGATGCCAGCAGGAAATTAATTTCCAGTCCATCCATCCATTCAATCCATCCGATTCAACAATTGTAGCTTGCTTCTGATTATTGCCTTTAAGTTGATTTAAAACCATTGTTATTTTATCAAACTTTTTAAATGAAGTTTCAAATAAGGCTTGTAAGTTGAAAGACTTTATATTCTTTAAATCACATCAAATTAGCTTATTCTAAGATTGTATTAATTACTGTATTAATGACAACATAGAAAAATTGATGAGCAATGGCAAATTGTTATCCATCACCTTCAGGTTTCATAGGAAAGATTTAAAAGGGTTAAAAATTATTTGTGTATCATTTTGAAGACAGTTTTTATCCACTTAGCTATCATACCATCCGCCCCTCAGGTTTCTAATCATACCACAAAATTGTTTGTGAGTCCTTTACTGAAATCCAGTGATATCACCAGTCTTCCCATCATCTATTTAGGAAGTGCAATGATGTGTGAGAATGATTTTTGGGATGAGGGGAAGAGAGGCTTCCTAGGGAAGGATCAGAGAAGAGGGGAGAATCCTGCAGCTGCATAATGGGAGAGAAAGAAACTCAGAAAGGATCCTGGCTAACTTTTCAGGCTGAGAAAAGAGTTGGTGGGAGATTTGTTCTTTCAGATCTGCAACATTTTGTTAATGTGGCATTGCAATTAATTAGAATTAGCACATCTGGATGTGTTTTCCATTAGGATGACCAGGGAGAAGATTAGCCTGACAACTTTCTTCTTGATCAACCCATGTTTTCTGGGAATCAACCTCTTGTTTACAAAGAGTTTATGAATCATCTTTTTTTTCTCTGTTCATTTTATTTTTCATCTGCTCTAGAATGTTCCCTATAATTGACCAATTGTGTCAATTATATTTTCTCTGTAGTTTGTCAGTATATGATTGACAATTTTTTCTCAGAACTAGAGACATTTTTATTAGGGATCTTACCAGAGACATTTAATAAAGAATTGCAATGTTTAATTGTGAATGTGTTAACAGCAGCTAGAATTCTATTTGCCAAAAATTGGAAAGGAGAGAAGATACTTATTGATGAAGAAATTATTAAGAAAATGTTGGATTGTGCTGTAATGAGAAAATTGACATTTGAAATAAGAGAACAGGATGATAAACAATATTATTTGATATGGGATTTATTTTATCAATGGATAGATAATAAAACATGGAGATGAAATATGATATATGAAATGAAATTAAGATAAAATGTGTAAAAATTTGTTTTTTTCTTAGTGGAAAAGGAACACGTGTCATATATTGATATCTTGAAGAGTTTGTGAGCATGAAAAGATTTTAACCGACCAAAACACTGTCTGTAATTTTTTGAAAGGATGATGCTTTTATGTTTTCTGTTTGAAAATAAAAAAAAAATTTTTTAAAAAAAGACAAATTTTTCTCAAACTTTTTCATTCACTTCTGAAGATAATGATAATATTTGTATCCTAATTAAGCATATTTGGAGTTTAGACAATTGTAGAAGAAAGATTCAATACGGGATAAGGAACAAAGTTTTCTGTTTTTCAAATTCCTGGATGTTCCCATTCTAGTTTCATCTCTTTCTGGAGAAAAATGAATTTTGGAATATTTCTGAGAGGAAACTGTACTTGGACCAAAATGGAGAGATAAAAGCAGATCTGTCCATTCGGGCCTCCTTGGTTCTCCCCAAGGAGGATACCAGGATAGAGACTCTGGGGTATTTTAAAAAACAGATACTTACTATCAACCAAGATGCTCTTTCACGGCTAAAGTCGCTCAATAAGGTGAGAGAAATTTTGGTGTCTTTTCTCTGTTTTCCAAAGTCTGAGGTCCCATTTCAAGTGGGCAAAGCCTAGAGTCTCCAGAGTGGTTTGCCTCCCGTGCCAGGTGGTGTCATCTAATGGAAGCTCTTCAGGAGACGGGACCTAAGTGGAGAAACTTTGCCATGTTTTATGGAAACCTTTCAAGATCTTACTGGTCAGAGGTTTCTTTCTCCATCACAGTTTTACTCTACATTAAAAAAAATCTAATGGAATAAAAGCTTCCTAAAATTTTTACAGTAAACTTTGTTCTCAGTTTTAATAAGAATATATCATAATATTTAAAACTTTTTTCAACTCCATCCCTCTAGACTTTATTAAATAGAAAAGTCCTTTATTGCAGTGTTAAATTGCAAACTCAAAAGGGAGGAACTACATGAAGAACCTGCCAGTTGTTTTACCTCCTGCATCTGTTTAGAAGTAGTCAGAGGTTTCATATTTACCCCAATGAAGATCAGAGGCTACTTGTCTCCATCCATTTCTACCTCCATTTTCCATGGACGGAGAGTCCTAACACCTTTTCTTTGGCATTCTTTGTTTTTTCTGCTCAGTCCCTGCCTCAGTCCAAATGTGTGGAAAGTTGCCATCCTGGATTTGTCAAGAGGGCTCGAGAAGGAGAGCCAGTTTGCTGCTACGACTGCGTTCCTTGTCCGGAGGGGACCTTCTCCACTCAGGAAGGTGGGTCACACGGAGGAAAATGGGAGGCTTTGTGGAACTGGATCCATCCAGAGGATTTTCATGAAAGTGCAAGTTAAAAGACAGATTGAAGCTCACATGGGTTTTTATTTTTAACCTGCACAATTTCTTATCTGTAATGTAAAACGTCTAACCTCTCTATATCTTATCTGTATCCCTACCTCCTTACAGTCCTTACAATCCTTACAGGGTTAACAATATTACACACCCTCTCATTTCCATAATCCTTATTTCCATAAACCTTACTCCTGACTCCTCCCCTTGGGTATAAAAGGAGTCATCCTGAGGTGATTTGTTCAGTTCAAGATGTGTATCTGTAAGAGATAAACAGAAAGTCAATAACAAAGGAGCCTAGGATCTATTCAGGCATAAAATAAAAGACTGAAAATAAAATATTCTTTGCTTTATGAGTTATAGGGTTAGATTCATCATCCTCAACATTATCTACACAGAAGGAAATCAAAAAGACTTGGAAGGAGAGGCTGGGAAGAGATGGGAGGAGGGGGTGGCAGACTGGGCAAGCTTTACTAACAGCAGAGGAAATATCTCTTCTGCTTTTTAGTTTGGATAAGTGCTGCTAAGTTTTCCTTTCTAGGAACTTCTGAGTCAGGGCTGAAATGCAAAATATTTTCCCTACTGGTTCTGTGGGCGTGGCTTGGTGGGTGTGGCAGGGGAAGGATATTGCAAAATCTCCATTCCCAACCCACTCTGGGACCAGCCAAAGGTGGTATTTGCCGGTCCTTCGAACTACTCAAAACTTCCGCTACCGGTTCTCCAGAACCTGCTGGATTTCACCCCTGATCTTAGTTCTTTGAAACTTGATCAATTGTTTTAGGTCCACCTTCTGAAAGACCTTACAATCCACTGTATATTGGATCCTCCCCTTGAGGATCACTGAGAAGGTGTTACTGGACCATAATCTGGTGCTGTGGATAGTTATGGGGGGAACTCATTATACAAATAGTCTGCCAGTCATGTAGATCAATCAATCAATCAGAATAGAATAGAGCTGAAAGGGACCTTGGAGGTCTTCTAGTCCTACGCCCAGTTCAAGCAGAAGAACCTATACCATTTAAGACAAGTGACTGTCCAGTCTCTTCTTAAAAACCTCCAATGTTGAAGCACCCACAACTTCTGGAGGCCAGCTGTTCCACTGGTTAATTGCTCTCACTGATAGGAAGTTTCTCCTTAATTCCATATGGCTTCCAGATGTTACAGGATACTGTAGGTATCCTCCAAGTCCAGGATATTAATTGCCATGTGGCAGGACTCAGGATGTTTGCCTAAAAAGATTATATGATTCATTATTAACCTCTAACAATATAGGTTCCTATGAAGATTCTACACATTACACTGGAAATAATTAACACTGTAGAATTTCACTCAATTTAATATATCTGGCTACATTTTTTTAAAAAATCCTTCTTATACTCTTTTTAATGAAATCTTTAATAAATACTTCTTGGAAAATGCCGCTGGTATCAGCTGTTATCCAAAGAAGGCATTTCTTGTAAGATAAAAGGACAGAATATTAAGGAAAGTTGCTTTTTTGTTTTCTCAGATACAAAAAAATGCACCAAGTGCCCAGATGATAAATACCCAAATGAGGACAGAGTCCAATGTATCCCCAAAGTTATAACCTTCCTGTCTTATGAAGAACTTCTGGGCATCATCCTGGTCTCTTTTGCCCTACTCTTCTTCCTAACCACAGGTCTTGTTTTAATCATCTTCATTAAATACCAAGAAACTCCCCTTGTCAAAGCCAACAACCGGGACCTCTCCTACATCCTCCTGGTCTCCCTCCTGCTTTGCTTCTTATCTCCTCTTCTCTTCATTGGTCAACCAAGGAAAGCCACCTGCCTTCTCCGACAGACAGTTTTCAGCCTCCTCTTCTCAGTTGCCGTTTCTTCTCTCTTGGCCAAAACCATCACGGTGGTGCTGGCCTTCCTGGCCACAAAACCAGGAAACCAAGTGAAGAGATGGTTGGGGAAGAGCTTGGCCAACTCCATCATCCTTTCTTCTTCTGCTGTCCAAATTATCATCTGCTCCATCTGGCTGGGAGTTTCTGCCCCCTTCCCTGACTCTGACCTCCACTCCCAGCCTGGAGAGATCATCCTGCAGTACAACGAAGGGGCCGTTGTCATGTTCTACGTCACCCTCAGCTACATGGGCTTCCTGGCTGCCATCTGCTTCACGGTGGCTTTCCTGGCCAGGAACCTGCCTGGGGCCTTCAACGAAGCCAAGCTGATCACCTTCAGCATGCTGGTCTTCTGCAGTGTCTGGGTGACTTTTGTGCCCACCTACCTGAGCACCAAAGGGAAATCCATGGTGGCTGTGCAGGTCTTCTCCATCCTGGCCTCCAGTGCTGGTCTGCTGGGCTGCATCTTCATCCCCAAGTGCTACATTATCCTTGGGAGGCCAGACCTCAACACAAAGGAGCAGCTCACAGGCAGAACAAATGTGAAAACATGAGACGTAATCTATTAGAATAATTATTATAGAATAAGGCAGTAATTATTCCCACTTAAATAGTTTGTTTTGAAATGGGAAATGGTTGAATGACTGGAATTATTGCATTATTCATCCCAATAAATCTAGCTAAAGAGAAATCTGTGAAAGTCATTCATAGGAATTTTTAAATATTTTGCAGCTCCCAAGAACCAGACAGTTTATAATTTGAGCAAATATTCCTACTGTCAGTGACTGAAAATATAGATGTGTAGAAAGAGAAAGTAGGAAAAGAGGTAAGATGGAAGCTGTAGGACCCATCCTCCAAGAGTTATACGATCATCTTCATGAGAACCCTTGTTCACCAAGCCAGGTGGGGGGGGGGCGTCCCTGAAGGCTCTCTCACTGAGAGACCCCGTCAGCACCTCTTTCCTGCAGCTGCCCCTCCCCTGGGAAAGAGGGCTTTGTAAGGGATCCTGCATCCTCCCCCCTCCGTCCCTTTAGTGGGTGATAAGGACCCCTCCGACAGCCGGATCTAATCCCCTCCTCCCCAGCCTGCGGGGCTGCAATCTCAGCGAAGGGCATTACAAAGCGAAACCTCAGAGGTTTCCCGGAGCCCAGTGGTGAGGGATCCGCTGCCCAGGAGAATAACTTCTCAGTCGCCCTCCTCCTCCTCGCCCGCCCAGCTGTCGCCTCTTGCGGGGAGGCGTCGGGTGAAGCTGCCGCTCAGAAGCCCCACTTAGGCTCCAGCGTTCTGGAGGCCTCCCCGCCCCGGTCCCCCAGGCAGGGGGCTCTTTGGCGGGGCTCCTGCAGCCTCTGAGCTCCAACGGGGCCGGGAAGGGAGAGGCGCAGAGCCACCTGCTTTGCCCTCCATCCCCGCAGCCGGGCTGGGAGGAAGGCAATGCAGGCAGCCGCTGCTCCGCTGCTTCCTCGCCCGCTGCGCTTCGCAGAGGGGCTCCCGGACAGTCCCGAGGGGGGGGCTCCTGGGGGGCCAAGGCGGGAGGGGACAGGGAGGGGGATCCGCCCAAGAGGACGAGGGCCCAGAAAGAGAAAGCGAGGAAAGCAAGAGAAGTAGGAAGGAGAGAAAAAAGGAGGGGGAGGGGAGGAGCCCAGCCCCCCCTTCTTAACCGGCTTCCAAAGGTCCGCTGAGTAAGGGGGGCACAATTGGGGTCTTTGCAAGGCGTGGGGTTCCCTCTTGGGCGCAACCGAAGCCAAAGTGGCCCAGAAAAGCCGTGACGTCAGCCGAGCAGCTCCGCCTGGTCTTCCCCCGAGGGGCTGGGGCCCTTCTTGCTTTTCTCGTCCCCGGGGCTGCGCTCCCTTGGCTGCCCTCCGCGGCTCCCTCTGGAGCGAGAGTCGGTCTTCCGCATCTCCTTCGGCTCTCCCGGGCCCCCATCTTCCCCCGCGGGGAGTCCAGGCCGTCTCTGCCACTCAAGGCGTTTCCATCGATTCTTCTGCGCTGCGCTTGAAGGCGGTCGGGTCCGACTCGGCGGTTGCTCCTGGGCGCTTCCCTACCCGGGCAGAGCCGGACCTCCCGGGAAGCCATGGCGCCCTGCCTGGAGCTTGGGGAGGGGGGCTGCTCACTCTCCCTGCACGGAGGCTGCCTGAGGCGGCCCAGTGGTCCAAGCAGCAGCCTAGGAACGGAGAGATTCTGGGTTCGAATCCCACCAGCTGGGGGGGCTCTGGGCCAATCGCTGATCCCAGAGGTTAACCGTCTGCCTTTGCCCCCCTGCGATCAAGACCCAACCCTCCCCACTAATGGACTAGCAAGAATAATGGGTGGATCCCACCATCTTCCCTTCTCTGGATCTTCCCAATCCCGGACTGAAGGTTTCCCTCTGGGAGGGGAAGAAGAAGGGCGGAAGGCGCCACCCAGGCGGGGCTTCCTTTGCCACCATGCAGGTGAGGAGCCACACCAGCCACACACACCCCTTCACGCCCTGGCCCCGCGCTGCCCAACCCCCCCCCCCAGCTGCTCTTGGGAGGGGAGCCGCAGTAGGCAGCCTCCACCTGGGTGGCCCCTGATTTCTACTTCTGTGCCTGTTTACCGAGGCCTTCCTGGTTTCATCACATTGTTAAAGCTTTTTTTTAAAGGCAGGAATCGTTGAGAAAATGCGGGGGGGCAATGGATTGGCGGCGGGGCGGCGTGTCCTCCGCGGGGGAGAGGTCGGAGGGGCGACCGCGGGGGGCAGAGGGCGGGGGGGGGGGTTGGGGCAGTGGGGGACCAGGGCTTGAAAGTCGGGGGAGGGGGGCTGGGCGCAAGGGGGCGGGGCAGGGGAAGGCGGAGGGGCGTTTGGGGCAGGCGAGGGGGGAGGAGGGAGGCGGCGTTTGGGGTCCGGGGGAGAGGAAGGGGCCGCGGCCGGAGGAAGCGGCGGCTGCAGAGTTGAAGGGGCCGAAGAACCGCGGAGATTCTCCCGCAGCGCCTGGAGCGTCTCCGGGGCTAAGCAGGGGTGCGGAAGGTCTCGCCTGGATGGGCGCTGCGGAGGAGCCCAAGAGCCGGGAAGGCCCCCCTCCCTCTTCCCTCCCCCGGAGGAGCAGCAGGAGAGGCTCCCCCGCCCACAAGCGCCGCTCCTCCTTTGCCTTCGCCCTGCCCGACGGTCCCCAAAGCCCCCCCGGCTCTCCTGGCCCTTCCCCTCCCCTCCCCTCCGCCCCCCCCAGGCTCCCCCGCCGCCCCGGAGAGTCCCAGAGCCTCTGCCTTCCTCCGCGTGGCTCTCCCGCCGTGTCCCTCTCTCTGCCACTGGGGCTGGGACCTCCGGCTTCCCGGGGCTGAGCGAGGCTCCGGGGCTTTGGGGCCGGCTGGGTTGGGCTCCGCTGTGGAAGGGCTGCGGAAGGAGAGGCGCCACGAAGAGCTCCGGAGACTTTGGGGCAGCTGAGGGGGAGGAAAGCTCCATGGAAGGAAAGGGGGGGTTGTGTGGGGGGGGGAGAGAAATGAATAAATGCCCAGAAGCTTCTCCTTGGTTTGAGTCGGTCAGGCGGAGACTTTCCCAGTTCAACCAGTTCAGCCCAGCCAGCCAGTCCAGCTCAACCACCAAGGCAGAATCCCCGGGAGCGCCCATCACCCCCGGCCAGAGCGGGCTCCGTGGCCCAGGAGAAGCGGGAGGGAGGCGGAGGGACGGCCAGGCTGAGGAGGCAGGAGGAGCCCCTGGGACGGCGGAGCTGAAGGGCTGCTCGGCGCCTCCCCAGCTTCCTTCGCGCCCTTCAGCTCGGCCGGCGGAGGCCCCGGACGGCGCCTGGGAGTCCAAAGAGCGAAGGGGGGGGGGGGCTGGAGCTCTCGGGGGCTGCGGAGGGAGCCTCGGTGGGGCTGAAGGCTTTTGGCCAATGGGGAGGAAGAGCGCCCCCTGTGGGAAGGGCGAGGCAGCGATCTGGCTGGACTAGCGGTGGGTGGGTGGGTGGCGGAGCTGTCCTAATTGGGGGAGTTTGGGATCTGGGGGGCAGAGCGAAGGGGAAGGAGGAGCTGGGATTTTGAGGAGGGGACCTGCTTTTCTTGGGGGGAAACAGGCTTCCCTGCTGGCTGGCTGGCTTTTCCTCAGAGATCGCTGTGGTCGCCCATCCAGAGGAGACCCTCAGCATCCCTGCTTAGCACCAGAGACCATCCAGGCAGCTGCGCCTCCCTGCTCCCCTCTCGCCTTGCCCCGTTGCCCGAGTGGGGGAGGCTGGATTCTAGAATCTCCTTTGCGTGGAGAAGAAATCACAATCTGTCTCTTAGAAGTTTAGAGCTCTTTCTGAGCTCACCTGCTTGCCTTTCCCTTCCACTTGAAGCTGGGCTGGGAGGGGGAGAAGAGAGAACCCTGAGAGCCTGGACAGAAGCATCAACTCCTCTCCATCGTCTCCCAGGCATTTGGGAGGGTCCCCATGCAGCCAGGCTGGGCTGCCCCAGTTGAGGTGCCCTGGAAACAGGCAGGAGGTCCTGAGTCCAGAGTGGGATGGAAGCCCCGAAGTTGCCGTTGACCTGGGAGCCTCTGGATGGAGCTTGGCGCTGGGTCCTCTGGAAATTGTCTGCCCTCTTCGGGTCTCTCAGTTGTCGTCCTTAAGCAGATCCTGGCAGTTTAGGGGAGATTGGGGGTCATCTTGCTTGAGATGGATGCTTTTTAGGCTGTGCCTTTATGGTTTTGTTTAATTCTCTTGAATTAATAATAAAGCTTAAAATCTCTTTTTTCACTGGGGAGAGTAGAGTAGAGTAGAGTAGAATAGAATAGAATAGAATAGAATAGAATAGAATAGAATAGAATAGAATAGCTGTGCCCAAGTCCAGGCGCCCCCCCCCCCATTTCCCCCTTTGCCTTTGTGGAGAGCAGGTGGGCTAAGTCCTAGGGACTCTAGAATCTTGCCCCCTCCCCCCCACCATATCTCGGGGTTGGGTTTATTGGGAAGTTGCAGGTGGGGGGGAGGGGTGATTGGGACAACTGGGCCCTTTTCACTCTCACAACTGTAGACAGCAACATCTGGAGAAGGAGGGGCTTCCTCTGCCTTGGGGGAGGAGAGAAATAAGGGCAGCTGCCCAGATTCAGGGGGGCAAAATCCTCCTTTTGTTTGAGTTCAGGTGGACCCGGTTCCTCCCCTCCAGACCTTCCGGCTCTGGGGATCTGCAGAGGCCCCTTCATGAGGGCCCTTCAATTGAGTCCCAGGAGACCCTCCCTTCCTCGGTCAAATGGCTCAGACTGGCCGTCCTGCTGGATCCCTTCCTCTTCAACTCTGGCAGGGACCTCGATCTGGCCGGGGATGATTGGCAGCTCCTGGGTATTTTGGGTTGGTTGTTGAGGTAGCCTGGCTGGGTGGGGTTTGCTCTGCTGCGTAAGAGCTGCGTAAGGGAAGGTCACAAATATGCTGCGGACACCTGGTGGCAGGTGAGGAGGGAGGAAAAGACGAGAGGGAGGGGGGAAAGAGGGGGAAGGGGAGGGAAATCAACAGAAGCCGAGACAGCTGCACGGGGTCCCTTCTGAAGAGGGCGGCCTTCGGATTGCTTTGATCTCGGAAGTTTTGAGCAGGTCAGGCTGATTCTTCTTCAGGTGTTTGTACTTAGAAAATCATCCAAAGACAAGGGAAGGGGACGGGGCTTCCTTCCCCCTCCCTTCCCCCTCCTCTTTCAATCCCTCTTTCCCTTCCCATTTCCCGCCAACTCAGGCAGACTTCATGCAGATTCCTCATTCTCCAGGGGGGCCTGGATGAGGCCGTTGGAGATGAAAGAGAAATGCCACCTTCTCTTTGTTGATTTAGTGGAGAGAGGTGGACACTCAACCTAGTCTCAGACACACGTGGATGGATGGATGGATGGATGGATGAACAGATGGGTAGTAAGGCTCTCCCCACGACCCCCTCTCGCCTTGCCCAAACTTACAGCCGTGGCTTCTGCCCCTTGCCTGTCCCACTGCCTTGCACTTCTGTTCAATCTCCTGTCCAAGGGCCTCATCAAGGCCACCCTGGAGAATTAGGAATTTGTATTCAGATTATTATACTGTGTGGGAAAGATGATACGAATGGTTGAACAACAGAATTAAAGAGGGAACATAAGGTATGATAAAAAGTAGTAATAGACTGATAAAGTGATACCAGAGTCATTTTATGTATATATGTGAGGAAGCTGAAAGGGCTTCACTGACCGGGATTTCCTCCTCTGCTGGGCAGCTGCAGCCTTTCCGCCTGGGGAGTTTCCAGGAAAAGTTCCCTCGTTGAGTCACGGAAGCCAAATGAAGCTCCATAAAATGGAATATGGGGGGAAAGACGAAGGAAACCAGTCAAATTGCTTTAGCCCAAAGGCGAAGAACGCGACGTTCTCAACCAGCCGTTGCCCACTGAGTGACCCCATTGCTGGAGAGACTCCAGAGCCCATCAGCCCCTCCGGCTCTTCTTCTTCCACGCTGCAGCTCAACGCCAGTCTCTGCAGTGGAGACCGACGGTTGCTGGGCGGATCCGGAGGCTTCCTCGGGGGGTTTCGGTTGCGGGTGGGGAAGCCCAGGGGGCTGGAGGGCGAGGGGGCTGCCGCGGGCGCCCCTCTTGCTCCTGGGGGCTGGGGGCCTCCCTGTGGGGGGGGCAGCTAGGAGGACCTGCCACCTGGAGCGGGGGAAGCCGAGAGGGGAGGGGCAGCCGCGTCCTGGGCTGGGTCTCCCCCCCTCTAAGCACCTTGCCGGAGAGGATCTGCAGGGATCCCTCCTAATCCAGAAGGATCCTCCTTCCCTCCAGCCCCCCTCCCAATACCCCCCTCCCTACCTGACAGCTGCTGTTTTCTTCTTTTGCCTCGCCTAGCCAGCCTTTTTTTCTCTGCTTCTCTCCCCCCCCCCATGGAATTATAGAGGCGGAGGGGGGGGCAGAAGCAGCCCCTTCCTTCAGTGAAGCCCCCTCCGGGTTTCCCTTCAGATTGGGGGGTGTCTGTTTGTGACCCCCAAGTCTCTCCCCCCTCTGCCTCTCCCCCCTCCTCAATCCGCCTTCCCTGCGGCTGCCTTCCTCTGCGACCCCTGGAAAGCCCGGGCAAGAGAGGGCGGGAGGGAGGCTCTTCGGGCACCGGCCGGCCTCCCAGTTGCGAGGGGCTGGCAGCAGGGACGGCGGCGGAGGCGGGGAAGGGGCTGTGGCAGGAGGGGGGAGGGCAGGGCAGGCGCGGCTGGTGGGGGGCTGCCTCGTCCGGGCGGGGGCCGAGAGGAAGGCGGGCGGCGGCTTCCCCTCCCCTCCCCCTGGGTCTTCTCCATTGCGGCGGGTGGGGGTGGGGGGGGCTTTCTGCCCCGCTGGTTGCTGAGCGGGCTGATTGCGAGAGCGACTCGGGGCACCCGAGCATGTGCAGAGCGCCAGGTGCGGCCCCGAGTCCTTTCTCTGCCCCGGAGGAGCCTGGCCGGGAACTCCGCAGCCCCTCCGGAGAAGTTGGGCGGGGGGCTTGCCTAGCCTTGGCCCCGGCCCTCCAGCCCCCGCACAGCCCCCGGCGCTCAGGCTCCGCTGGAGGGGCTCCGAGGGGGGGTCTCTCTCTGCCGAGCCCTGGAGCCGCTGGGCGGGGGCAGGCGGGGCAGCAGCGGGACCCTTGGCCTGGGGGGTGGGGGGGCTGCGCTGTCATTCTCTCTCTCTCTCCCTCCTTTCCTTTCGCTTCTCTCTTCCTGAGGGTCCTGTATTAAGGGGGGGGGTTTCCTTCCATTCTGTGCCAGCTCCACCTCCTGCTTTGCGATTGTCTTTTTGGTGGTGACAGAGAAATCCCTCTTCAAACTTCTCATCCCCGTCTTTTCTTTCTTTCTTTCTTTCTTTTTCTTTCTTTCTTTCTTTCTTTCTTTCTTTCTTTCTTTCTTTCTTTCTTTCTTTCTTTCTTTCTTTCTTTCTTTTTTGAAAGTAAGGGGCGGGGGTGGGGGGGGGGAGAAAGGCTCAGCTCCCCAAAGCCTGCGAGCGGGGTCCAGCCCGGGATCGAAAGCAGCCAGGTTAGAAGGGAGGTGGATTCCCAACCTCCGAGGGCAGAGGGTGCGAATCCTGCAGGAATGGCCAGCCAATGGGCAGGCGGGCGGGGTGGGAGCGGAATCTACTGGATCTCCGAATTGGCTTCTGTCGGAGGGTGGGTTGCGCGGAGAAGTCCACTCCGGAGAGTCGGCGGGACATCGCAGCGGCTCCTGGGCCTTGGAAACCCGGAGGGGGCTTCGCTGAAGGAAGGGGCTGCTTCTGCCCCCCCCCGCCTCTATAATTCCATGGGGGGGGGAAGCAGAGAAAAAAAGGCTGGCTAGGCGAGGCAAAAGAAGAAAACAGCAGCTGTCAGATAGGGAGGGGGGTATTGGGAGGGGGGCTGGAGGGAAGGAGGATCCTTCTGGATTAGGAGGGATCCCTGCAGATCCTCTCCGCCTGCTCCTGGTTTAGCTGAGGGCTTTCCTGTCTTCCCTTCAGATTGGGGGGTGTCTGTCTGTGACCCCCAAGTCTCTCCCCCCTCTGCCTCTCCCCCCTCCTCATCCAGGCAGCAACTCTTCCGAGGGCAGAATCTTCGCCTTCAATGAATGGGGGGGGGGGGGAGAGAGGGAGGAGGGAGGAGGGGGGTGTCCTGGCCAGATGCTTCCAACCCCAGAGGAGGAATCGGCGGTTCTGAATTGGGGGGAAGAAGCCTTTTTCCTGGACTTTGGACTTTTCAGCTATTCCACTCCACTCCTTTCCTTTCCTTCCCCTTTCTTTTCTTTTCCCCTTTATTCCACTCTTCTCCTTCTCCTTTCTTTCCCTTTCCCATTTCTTTACTACCTTTATTTTCTATTTTATGCCATGATAATTTTAATAAAAAAATAATAATAGAAAGGAACATTTTGTTTTAGGAGCGCTTCTTGTTCCACAGCTGGAATATGCACATTCCTGGGGGGGAAAGCTCATCACAAAACACAACTTTTGTGTAAAGTGTGATAGTTTGTTTTTGATCTCTCTGTGACAGACATTTTGTGTGAAGTCCAGCTGCTTTTGCATTGTGTCAGACTCAGTTGCATAGCTTTTGTGTTATTTTTGTGTAAAGTGTGATAGTGGGTTTTCCTGGTCACATGACCACCAAGCTACGGCCACCCAGTCACATGACCACCAAGCCACACCCACCAAACCACACCCACAGAACTGGTAGGGAAAATTTTTGAATTTCACTCCTGCCTTCCACCTCCTCCTGGGGAGAGTCTCCAGGTCCCCTTTCTCTGGGCATCTTCTCCAGCCCTTCACAGACAAGACAAGCTTGGAAGAGGAGCAGAGAAAATGCTTTAGGTAGAAATTGTGGAATTGAAAATTAAAGGGCCTGAAAACTGCTATTTTCTTTCTCTGGTTGAGGAAAGAAAAAAATATACAAAGTGTAAAGTTGAAATTTCTTTACACATTTTATTTTTTTATTTACTTTTTTATTATTTTAGTGTAATTAAATTATTTAATGTACCAAAATAAAAACAATCCCAAACTGAAATCCCAGACAGCTGTTCTGCCAAATTCTTTCTGCAAAGGAGCTTTTATCAGGAAATCAAGAAAGAATTATATAAGATTTCCCTCCCCATCTGACAGCCGATCAAACATGTCATATTTCACATCATTCCGACATTCTCACGGAGAGGATCAGGCAATCAGGCTGGTGCTTGGTTCCCACAGCTTCCTCCTGACCTCTTTTCCTGCTCTCTCTCTCTCACACACACACTTTTAGCTGCTGTCAGTAGGAACAAGTGCCCACATTATTTTCTATAAGTGTCACATAAGGTAGCTGGAAAATTTCTCCGAATAACTTTCAGAGTTCTCTTTAGCAAGATTTATTGAAAGGGGAGGGAACAACAAGAATTCCAGTCATTCAAAAATTTCCATTGTGCAACATATAGATATGATTTTCTTTGACTTCTGCATACTATATAAGGACTTAATATCTCCTTTCAAATAAAAGAAAATGTAATAATTCTTCCACTATCATATTTGTGTTATATCTCATGTTTTTACATTTGTTCTGCCCGTAAGATGTTCCTTTGTGTTGAGGTCTGGCCTCAGAAGGATAATGTAGCACTTGGGGATGAAGATGCAGCCCAGCAGACCAGCACTGGAGGCCAGGATGGAGAAGACCTGCACAGCCACCATGTATTTCCCTTTGGTGCTCAGGTAGGTGGGCACAAAAGTCACCCAGACACTGCAGAAGACCAGCATGCTGAAGGTGATCAGCTTGGCTTCGTTGAAGGCCCCAGGCAGGTTCCTGGCCAGGAAAGCCACCGTGAAGCAGATGGCAGCCAGGAAGCCCATGTAGCTGAGGGTGACGTAGAACATGACAACGGCCCCTTCGTTGCATTGCAGGATGATCTCTCCAGGCTGGGAGTGGAGGTCAGAGTCAGGAAAGGGGGGAGAAACTCCCAGCCAGATGGAGCAGATGATAATTTGGACTGCAGAACAAGAGAGGATGATGGAGTTGGCCAAGCTCTTCCCCAACCATCTCTTCACTCGGTTTCCTGGTTTTGTGGCCAGGAAGGCCAGCACCACCGTGATGGTTTTGGCCAAGAGAGAAGAAACGGCAACTGAGAAGAGGAGGCTGAAAACCGCTTGTCGGAGAAGGCAGGTGGCTTTCCTTGGTTGATCAATGAAGAGAAGAGGAGACAAGAAGCAAAACAGGAGGGAGACCAGGAGGATGTAGGAGAGGTCCCGGTTGTTGGCTTTGACAAGGGGAGTTTCTCGGTATTTAATGAAGATGATTAAAACAAGATCTGTAGTTAGGAAGAAGAGTAGAGCAAAACAGACCAGGATGATGCCCAGATGTTCTTCATAAGACAGGAAGGTTATGACTTTGGGGATACATTGGACTCTGTCCACATTTGGATATTTATCAACTGGACACTTGGTGCATTTTTGTGTATCTGAGAAAGCCAAAAAATAATATTTCTTTAATATTCTATCCTCCTATCTTTCAACAAAGATCTTAAACTGATAGCAGGATCAATTTCCAAGATGTGTTCCTTAACAATTTCACCAAAAGAATATGTATTTGCAAACAAATGTAGAGCGAAGTCTATGAAACTGGAGGAAGTCCTAGGATGTTAATTATTTCCTGGTTAATGTGCAGAATCTTCATAGGAACCTACATTATCAGAGGTTAATAATGAATCAGCTAATCTTTCTAAGCAAACATCCTGAGAATTGACCCATGGCACTTCTTTATATATTGACTCAGAGGGTTCCTATCCTGGGATATTTAATTGGCTGTCAGAATATTCGTGTAATGAGGTTCCCCCATAACTGTCCACACTACCTCCCTGTGGACCAGCAACTCGGAGATCCTCAAGGGGAGGCGCATGTAGAAGGTATCATAGTAATCCTTCCAGGTGATGGACCTAAGACAGTCCCTCAAGTTTCAGAGAACTCAGATGGTTCCAGAGAGGTAAATGTGGCAGGAAACATCCACACTAAAGAGAAATTTTCACTTTAAACATGAAATCTGAATAGATATGTTTGGGCCAATGACTATCTCTCAGCTCCCATCTCTTCTCAACCCCTCCTTCAAAGTCTTCTTGATTTACTTCCTTTTAGGTATGGAATTGTGCAGGTTAAAAATAAAAAACCCAGGTGAGCTTCAATCTGTCTTTTAACTTGCACTTTCATGAAAAGGTTCTGGATGGATCCAGTTCCACAAAGCCTCCCATTTTCCTCAGTGTGACCCACCTTCCTGAGTGGAGAAGGTCCCCTCCGGACAAGGAACGCAGTCATAGCAGCAAACTGGCTCTCCTTCTCGAGCCCTCTTGACAAATCCAGGATGACAACTTTCCACACATTTGGACTGAGGCAGAGACTGAGCAGAAGAAAAGGAATGCCAAAGAAAAGGTGTTAGGACTCTCCGTCCATGGAAAATGGAGGTAGAAATGGATGGAGACAAGTAACCTCTGACCTTCACTGAGGTAAACATGAAACCTTTGATTACTTCTAAACAGATGCAGGAGGTAAAACAACTGGCAGATTCTTCATGTAGTTCCTCCCTTTTGCTTTTGGAATTTAACATTGCAATAAACTACTTTTCTACTTAATAAAATCTTGAGGGATGGAATTGAAAAAAAGATTTAAGTATAATGATATATTCATCTTAAAACTGAGAACAAAGTTTACTGTAAAAATTTGAGGAAGCTTTTATTCCATTAGATTTTTTTAATGTAGAATAAAACTATGATGGAGAAAGAAACCTCTGACCAATAATATCATGAAAGGTTTCCATAAAACATGGCAAAGCCTCTCCACTTAGGTCCCGTCTCTTGAAGAGCTTCCATGAGATGACACCACCTGGCATGGGAGGCCAACCACCCTGGAGACTCCAGGCTTTGCCCACTTGAAATGGGACCTCAGACTTTGGAAAACAGAGAAAAGACAGCATAACTTCTCCCACCTTATTGAGCAACTTTAGCCGTGAAAGAACATCTTGGATGATAGAAAGTCTCTGTCTTTCAAAATATGCCAGAATCTCTATCCTGACATCCTCCTTGGGGAGAACAAAGAAGGTTTTGATGCCCAGATCTGCTGTTATCTCTCCATTTTGGTCCAAGTACAGTTTTCTTTGAGAAATATTGAAAAACTCGTTCTTCTCCAGAAAGGGATGAAACTAGAATGGGAACATCCAAGAATTTGAAAAGTTGAAAACTTTGTTTCTTATCCCACATTGAATAATTCTTCCACAATTGTCTAATCTCCAAATATGGTTAAATAGGTTACAAATACTGCCATAATCTTCATAAGTGAATGAGAAAGTTTGAGAAAAATTTGTCCCTCATATACTGACAAAGCATAGAGAAAATATCATTGACACAATTGATCAATTATAGGGAACATTCTAGAGCAGATGACAAATAAAATGAAGAGAGGGAAAAAAAGATGATTCATAAACTCTTTGAAAACAAGAGGTTGATTCCCAGAAAGTTGATCAAGAAGAAAGTTGTCAGGCTAATCTTCTCCCTGGTCATCCTGATGGAAAACACCTCCAGATGGAGAGTGGCTGGCTCTGGAGAATTTGATCGCTGAAGAGGGAGCCGGGCTTAGAGAGGGGAGAGGCACTACCGATCAGTGCTTAGTTCTTCATCAACTGATTGAAAAATACATATCAAATAGATCTGCTTTATAGATCTCAAGGCAGCCTTTGATACGGTTCCCAGGACTAAGCTATGGCAGAAGCTGGAAGCTGCCTCAATTGATCACAGGCTTCTTCATCTGTTACCTGCCCTAAAACATCCCTCAAGGTGAGGTGTGATATGCAGGGGTCCCTCTCGAAGTCAGTTAAAACTCAAAAGGGGGTTAAAAGGGGGCATTTTGGCCCCCCTGCTTTTCAACTGTTACATAACTGGCATGGTAAAATGGCTAAACAAACCATATCATCCCCCCCAAAAAATAGGTGACTGAAGCATCGCCCTCCTGCTCTATGCAGATGCCCCTGTGATCCTCTCCAGGACACCAGAGGGCCTTAAAAGAGCCTTGCGAGCCCTTCTCCAGCACTGCAATTACAATCAACTGGGCATCAATGATGAGAAAACAAAGATCAAAAAGGCCAAAACTTGATTCATGGCATCTAAATGGCCACAAAATAGAGCAGGGAAGCCCCTTCAAATCCCTGGGGGTGGCCATTCAGGCCAAGGGTTCAAGAAAGATGCAGCTGCCCTGGGCCAAAGATCAGCCAGCACCATTCTTCATTGTTTCCGCACAAAGGGAGGCTACTATGTCCCTGCTGCTATTAAGCTTTTTGTGCCCAAGTCGCTAGCACAGCTCCTTTATGGGACGTTGCTCAGACCGTCAGCTTCATGTTTTACATCATTAGAAGTAGTTCAATCCAAATTCACCAGATCAATTCTCCAGATGCCACGTTGTGTCTCAAATGCACTTCTGCGCCTGGAGACAGGATTGACAGAAGCCGAAGCAACAATCCGTATAGTGGAGCTGGCAGCAGATTTGGACAGTGAGGAGGTTGGGGAGGGACATGGGCCAGTCCTGGAGTCTGGGGGAGGCTCTGATGAGAGCTCTGTGATAGTGCGCACACATTTGCGAACCGGTAGGGAAGGTAAGTGAATTTCACCCCTGGATTCTCCCCTCTTCGCTGATCCTTCCCTAGGCAGCCTCTCTTCTCCTCATCCCAAAAGTCATTCTCACTCATCATTGCACTTCCTAAATAGATTATGGGAACTCTGCTGATATCACTGGATTTCAGTAAAGGACTCCCAAACAATTGTGTGATGTGATTAGAAAACTGAGGGGCGGATGGTATGATAATTAAGTGGATAAAAACTGCCTTCAAAGTGATACTCAAATATTTTTAATCTTTTTAAATTTTTCCAACAACACCTGAAGGTTATGTTTGTTTACTTAATTGATTAGTCCATGGGCCAAATCAAAGTGCAGACTTCCAAACACAAATTATTCCTAAAATCCAATAAAAACAATTTAAAATGAGATTGGAATAGAATACAATAATATATGGATAAATAAAATATGATAAAATCATATTTCAATATCACCCCTTCAGTCTACCCCAATCAGTCCCACAAATTCTGATCTCAACTGAGACATTTTGCTCAAGTACTGAGCTGTATTAAATGTTGTTTTCAAATTCTGGCTGCAGTTAAGGTGAGTCGTTTTGATATGGGATTCCCTATGGATCCTTGGTTTGGTATATGGACCAAAGTACCTGCTTCTCACCCTCTTATGCAGGCAGCTATCAAATAGGATGTGAGCCAGGTCTTCTGCCTCTGCCACTCTGCAAATGCATTATAAGGTCTAGAGTGGAATCTCCCATATCTGACCATTGTGTCCAGCTGTTTGAATCTCGCTCGCGTAAATCTCTCCCTAAGATGTTTTGGCAGTTGTAACTTTAAATAGTTGTCTAGTTGAAAAGTAGATTTGTATTTGCTCAGCCATTTCAACTTACCCACCTTACTAAGAATAGCCATGTCATTTTGTGCTTCTACATTCTTAATTCTTTGGGCAGCTGTTTTTTTGAATTATTCTCCTGTTACGCAAGAGACAGGAAGGCCACAGCTGCTTCCAAAATTAATCAGTTTAGTGATCCAAGAGGTTTGTGATTGTGAGTTTATCTGCTCTAGTAAGCATAACTTGGGGAGTCTATCAGTCTCCATTTCATTGACTTTGTGCCAGTGGTTATATGCTTTGATTTTGGTTAGTGGATGAATTGTATATATTCCTAATTCAGCTCTAACTGTTGCAGCAGATGTCCTTAGATCTACACCCACAATACAGCTCAGGTCCTGGGACTGTGTTTGTTCTAGTACTGTGGTTCAGTAGAAATCCCAAACGTCTGCTCCATACAAGAGAATAGGCCTAACCTTTATATACTTTAATTAATGGGCCAGGGATTGAAGGTTAGGGATAAATTTTTGCTATTGGATATCAATTTTTCTATGTTATCGTTAATACGGTCAAGTTGATAAATCCCCTTCCCACAAGATTTGATCTAAGATGGGGCTTCCGGTGGCACCGTAGACATTGAAAGACGTTCCTCTGTGAGTGCCAGCCCCCCGTAAAGCCACTAGAACAGCGAAAATCAGCTTTCTAGCGGCTTGGAAACTTTCTCCCCGGGAAAAGGGGAGGAAGAAAGCAGACGGGTGCAGGTAGAGCTCTCCACGAGCCCCAGGAACAATTCTGGGGCTTGAAGGGTGAGGGCTCCCTGGAAACCCGACAGCACTCCGGATCCGGGACGTTTCTGCTTTAAGCAGAACAAGACGTCGCAACCACCCCTGCAAACAATGTTTTAAACAAAATACTGGATTTGGAAGTAGGCAGAGCAAAGCCAGGAGAGACTAGATCTGCAAGTATTAAACTCTAATTCCAAATGTGTATTATTTCCTTCTGTGGCTATTAAGGGAAGAAAGTGAAAGCAAGATGGCGTTTGAGTTTTAATGGGTCATGGGAAGTGAAAGTTAAAAGAAAGTATCGCTCAGTGCTGATAGCCCCTGTTTAAAATTATAAGACTTTGATTTGATTTGAAAGAAAGAAGATTGGAAATTTTTGAATTTGCTGTTTTGGCTGCTGAATAAATTTAAATTGAAAATCTAAAAATGGCTTCAAAACAAATAAAGACTGTTGTTCCTAAAAGTGCTGGGAGTTCACCAGCTCATACAGCTAAATTGCAGTCTCTACCAGCCCCAACGGAATCACAATTAACACTTGAAATGTTGCAGGAAGCCCTTAAAATACAAGCCTCTGTTATAGAGGGGAAAATTACTTCTGTGTTTGAAGATAAAATTTGAGATGTGGCTGAAGAGATTCAAATTCAAAATCAAGAAATTAGAGAAGATATTGTTATGGCAGTTCAAGGTCTGGCAGGCCATATTGAATTGCTAGACAAAAAAGTGGAAGAAATTAAGCAGTCCAATGTGAATTTCGAAAATAAAATGGGTGAGGTCCAGATTAAGATGGAAAAAACAGAGGCAGAATTAACAATGATACAATATAGGGACATGGAGTTTGCATTGAGAATAAGAGGTTTGAAAGAAAATAAGCAAGAAGATTTGAGAGAGATCTTTGCAGAAGCATTCACACAGATAATGGGAGAACAAAAAGCAAATTTTGAATGGCAAATTGATAAAATCTACCATGTTAATTCATGGGTTGCCAGACAGAAACATTTACCAAGAGATATTGTAGTCTATTTTATCACAAGAAAAATATGGAATGAAATCTTACAAGCCACCTTTAAGCATAAGCTTCAAGTGGAAGGGCAGGAGGTTTTAATACTGAAAGAAATTCCCCCTAAAATGTTGAGAACCAGAAAGACTATGCCTTTCTGGTGGAAGAACTCAGAAATCGTCAGATACAGTACAGTTGGGAGGTTCCAGCTGGACTAGTGGTGAATTATTCAGGAGAAAGATATCGTCTTAATTCAGTTTGGAAAGCAAGAGATTTTTATGTCAATGTACTAAAGGCTGGATGCCCACAATCTCCAGAAGCTAGAAGGAGGAAGGAAGCAGAGGTGGCAAGAAAAGGGGAGAAAGAAGGAATGCTGGCACAGGCTCAAGGGGGGGCTTTGATTATTCAAGATGATTTAATACAACTTACGAGCACTGCTCAAGTTTTGGATGTATTTGAAAAAATAGAAGAACCTAAGGATCAAAGACAGACCCGAGCGGTTGCCAAGCGTAAAGAGGAATTAAAGGCACAGCAACTTCAGATGACAACTCAAGAAACTACAAAAACAGAAGCAGTGGGAGGAGCAAGGCCAAAGAGAATTCATGAAGATTTTCAGCTAATGCTCCAGAAGCTTCAGAGAGCCAAGGATGGCAACTAGATTTCTGACTTGGAATGTTAATGGTCTAAATTCACCACAAAAGAGGAGGAAAATTATCTGAAACAGTTTAAAAATGAAGTAATTTGTTTACAAGAGACACATATTAGAATGAAAGATCAAAAATATCTGATAAATGCAAGATTAGGAACACATTTTGTTGCATCTGCTCCAGAGAAGAAAAATGGTATAGTTATATATTTTAAAAAAGATTTAATGGCTAAATTGATTGAAGTAGATGATCAAGGAAGATTTATAGCAATTGAACTTTTAATAAAGGGGGAAAAACACTTTTAATCGGAGTATATGCACCGAATCAA